CTCTAAATAAACTATGAAACTAATATATACTTATTAAGTTTTGCATATTCTCATTTTTCCTGTCTTACCTGTTGGTGGCACAGGTATCTCCTCCTTTCCAGCAGTGATTAGGATTTTTGAGTCTGCAAGTAATTTGTTCAGGTCTTACTACATGTTTGGGTTAAGCATCTGCAAAATAATTCATAGTTCATTCATTAGTTTGTTAATTATAAATAGTTACTGATTATGGGTGAAAATCTGTTAATTTTTAACTTACAGGCTACCTTAAATATAAACTCAATTGTATTAATTGAGCAATAGGTTTGCATTTCTGTGAATCTGAACTGTAATATTTGGTCTAATATTAGGGATTTAGGCATTGTATTGGAGTCCCTACCTGCAAGATCAGGACCTAATCCTGTTCTTGAATGTTGAAATTCACAGTGATCAATAATGGAATTTAAACCAACCACAGGCTTGTAGACAGTGTCTGTGTCCAGCCCTTTGGCTAGAGAGATCAAGTACTTACCAAGTACTGATTCAAGTCAGGCAAGAATAGTGATTGGAAAGACTTTGGGGATATAAACATGTGAACAGCCCATATGGTCTGATGCCAGTGTTATGATGAAAAATGCAGATCAAATTGATACTAAACTGAGAAATTTGCAGTTGTCATCATCCAGCTGTTAGGGTAGCATTTCTTTTTAAGTCAGATTTAGGACATATTCGTAGTTGCAAGAACAGGATGGTTTTGATCCCATTCAGCATATTTCAGAAACAGCACTGGGGTGGTTCTGTGGGTTTTCAGCACTGGCAAAGTCAGAGTTGTTCTTTGATACTCAAAGCTCGTTAAGCCCCTTGATCTCATTTCACTGACTGTAATGATGAGACAGATGAAGCTTAGTGAAAATGGATATTTAAAGGAAAGCATTAAGGATAACAGTGTTACTACTACATCAATAGGAGAACAATTCCCCATGTCAAAGCCAATGTTGATATGTGAAATAATTCCCTCAAGATTTTTGTTTCAAGCTCTTGGGTTGCTGGGCAAGCCCTCTGCCCAGGAGACACCTGGGCAGCTTTTTCCACACCAGCTTGTAATCCAAAGCACCAAGAGGAAGGCAGGAGCACCTGAGCTGCCAGAGTCAGGTCCCATTCGAGGCATGTTGCTGTTCTCCTGCTTGTGGGATTGGGATTATGGAGCTACAGGATCCAGAGCAGGTCAGGGTAGGCTTGCCTTGTCTGTTGTGTGTTGCTGATTTATCTGCTGCTCCTTCTCTTCCTAATCCTTAAATAAAGAATGCTTTCCCCTTGGCTATTTATTTTCAAACTTGGAAAATTCATATTCATGCATTAAGGAGTGAAATGAATATATGTGAAGTGGTAGAGTTGTCTGACCATAAAAGTAAGTGCACTGTTGGCTGGCTGCATCTGTCAGTAAGTAGGGAGTGCAGACAGGAGTCAAATGATTGAGACCACTGGATTTTAGTGATCCTTGGCATGACTCATTCCTGTTTCCTCAGTGTACCTTTCAGGAAAGGGGAATAAATCAGCATCAGAAATCAGCATCAGAAATACCCTAAAAATATTACACTTGGAAGGGCTTGTTATGGCACTCAAAATTTGAGAGGCACAGAAAGGGTGTATTTGGCTAAAGAAGAGAGAAGCTTAAAGGTCCAGGTTGTCCAAAGCAAATTGCTTTATGCCTGTAATGCAGGGCAGGGAGCCACTTTCTAATAGGAAAAAAGTGTCACCTAGAAAGTGGACTAGAAGTCCTAACTATGTGTTAGAAATGCATAATACTGCTCTTGTTTAACCTGAGTCTTTTCATATTGACAGAAATTTGGTTGAGTTTTTTTTCCTTGCTGATGAAGAGTGAAGCTATAGTGATGGGTATTTGTATATTAGTTCCTGGAAAGATGAGAAACTCCTTTTAACCAACCTCATCACTGTTTCACTGTCCATTTATTAAATATTATTATATTGAGCTTAATTAAAGGCAGTTATCCCTCCTCGGCTGTTGGTACCATTCATAAAGCATCTGTGAGATTAAATTTTTTGTACAATTTACCTATCCTTATAAAAGTCAGAGTCTGGATACTATCCTTTTCCCTAGCTAATATATTTAAACTTTATCTTATTTTGGGGCAGTTAAAAGAATATTTCTAAGTCCTGTTTGTTTTTCACTGAATGTGCTTGCAGAATTCTTAGCAGTCATGAAGCTAGCAAGGCTTTTAGTGTAAATTTTCTAATTATTTTTAATATGAAAAGCCAGATAAATTACACTTAGGCCTAGTACAGTTGTTGGGAAGGCAATGTGTGTTTGTAGAGGAGAGGCCGATATTGTTGGGTTCTACATTGTGTGGATGTGATAGGGCAATAAATTCCAATAACTCTGAGTACTGTTGCAGTTATCAACAGGATAATATTTCCTTGGTCTTGTTTCCCCCTGAGTAAAACATTGGAAGATTTTCTTTAGAAAAATGTTGCTTCATTATATTCTCCTTTCCCATAAAGCAGAAATCTGCAGCAATAATTGTGTAGTCATAAGGACAAGATAGTTTCTGAAAGCCAAGACAGTTGAAGTTTGAAGGGATGGAGAGGAAGGAAATTAAAGCAATGGCTGGAGGTTTGTGGCACCAGTAGCTTTGAATCTCCTCTGTACTAACTAATGGATAATTACGAGGGTTTTTTCATTTATTTTAAAGTGTATTTATTTTAAATGTGTTTTCCTCCACAGACTTGAGAGGCTAGTGCCTTTCCTTCTTCCTTCACCTTGCTGTTACATGCAGGACTTCAGGCACCATTGGCTTTGGCATCTTTTCCAAACATTCCTGCGTAGAGGATATTGTGTGAAATAAAAATAAGATACAAAGCTTTCAAACTGTGATTACACAAGCCTGTTTCAAAATACAGAAGTCTGTCCTGTGTTGTTCTGGCATGTAAGAAACTTGTCTTATTGGTATGGGGGTAAAAGTCATTGTTTATGGCTGTGCTTTTTCACATGGACTTGTTTAGAAAAGTGTCATGATCTAGTTGTCAGAGGTGCTAAAGCCATCCAGCTTCCATTGGCTCATGTGAGATTTATCAGTGCTTGAAACCAGTTTTCGATTTGAGCTACTGCAGTGTTATTCTAATCTTTTAGCTTGCTGGGCTTCTGTGTAGAAGATGAAATACACTAATGCTGGTGAAAAGACACTGATTTCAGCATGGCTAACTCTTAAGAATACTACATTAATTTCCACATGTTCTGAGTGATAGGTATGACAAACAATCTATTTCAGCTGTAACAGATCTTACTTATCACAGGACCAATATGCCAGGAATCTGACAGCAAAGCCAGAAGCTGCATTTTCCAGCACACGTGCAAAGAGCATCCGTACAGAAACTTGTTTTTGTGTGCAGACAATTTGCTGCAGTAAAACAATTAGTGCATGTACATGAGATGTTTTTGCAAAATACTCTTTGCATGTTTGTATAACACTATGGTCTGAAGCCATTTTTCTCTTCTTCTCCTTTATTTTAGTAGCTTAAGGAAAAAACATATTCTTCCATGATAAAATATTTATAAACTGTCAAACAAAAGTTAGAATGCCAAACCTAAGGCAAATTCCACCTGCTACAGTGCAACTGCTCCTCGTGCTTTTTATAATCTTTGTTTATGAATTGGGAGAATCCCCACAGATTTGCAGAATAAGGAATACTCCTGTGTCTGACGTGATGGGCTTGACAACCTCTTTGGTAGACTCTACAGAGACTCCTGGGTTGCTGCTGGGATGGCTCTGTACAGATTTATACACTGAACTGCAATGCTAATCAGCAGATTGGGCAAGGCTTCCCAGCTGCTCACCATCCCATTTTTATAAATGTAGGAATCAAATTTGGGTTGGGTAAAGCACATGTGCACAGTGAGATCTTGCCAGCAGAGACACTGCTGCCTGCAGCTCAGAGCATCGGAGCATCTCTTCTTTGCTGCTGTGGGTAAGGGGTGTCTCACTTCCAGGGAGAAAGCTGTGTGCTTTCTTAAGCCAGAGGAATGTGTCCTGAGTATCTGGATATTATTCTGTGGTCTGCTGTCAATTTGCTAAGAGTGGCTAAGGGATTGAGGAGATACAGTCCTGTCAGCTCCTGTCTCTGTGGAGTATGGTGCTTGTCCAGCAGTCTTCTGGAAACGGCGACCGTAGTGCTGGGGTTGCTGGAGCTATTTCAGTCTCAGGTGTGTGAAAATTTTCACATTGTGTTCACTCAGCTGTCAGTGCTGCTCACGTACACCCACATGAGCTGATGAACTGATAGTGGTAACACAGGGCCCGCTCCGTGCCATTGCTCGCCATCTCTGTTCATTTAACATTAATTTTTCATTTGTCTAAACCAGAAGGTAAGGAATGTGCTATCTTAGCAATTTCTGAACTGTCATATGTACACCTGGCACTTATTAATGCCTAAGAATAGTAATAGTAAATAGTAATTTTTAAATGCAGGTGTCTCTAGGTCACAGTTGTAGCCACAGTAGAATGCAGGAACCAAAAGAAGGCTGCAAAAAACTTTTCATCCATGATGATTTCTGTAAGTTGGGGAATACTTTAGGTTTATGGTTCATTGACAATCTAGGGATTAAGTCAATGTGATTTTTGCACTTAACTTGTAAAAGTTTTGAAATTTTCATTGTGTTTTAGCCCATGCGGAAAAATTCAGAGTGGTACAAACCATGTATATTTTGGGCAAAATACACTCACAAATATTAAATTACTTCCATATAGGTATCCTTAATGAAAGTTAGGTTTTCTTTAAGTATCCTTTATCACATTTATGTTGAAATGAGAGTCTTGGAGATGAGAGAGCATGCAAGGTGTAATAGAGAATACAATGGAGGATACCTCCAATGTAATCAAGAATGACGTTTTGTTTGCTTCTAATTTTGCGTAACATCCCTAACTTAAAAATGGGGAAATCACAACATAGGTGCTGTTATGATATGTGAATTTTTTACTGTGATAGTGAACACGGCATTTTGTTGTCAGGTACCTGACGGATGGCGGGCTGGGGCTGTACACGCGACGGCTGAACCGGCTACCCGACGGCATGGCCACGGTGCGGGAGACACTGCAGCGCAGCACGGCCCTGAGGCTCGGTGATGCCGACAGGTAGGGGGCTAAACACCCTTGGCAATCCAGGCATTCAACACCTGGGTATGAACTCCTCCGGGGTACGAAAGTTTGACAAGAAAGCTTCACAGATATGGATGCTTGGTAGAAAGCTCCCTGAATGTAGAACCTGAGAACGGAATAGAGATAGAAGCAAGTATTGATATAGAATAACAATAGATGTCTAAATTGACAATTGCTGAGCCAGTTGTTACTGGACAACCAAGAAAGCAAAGGCTAAGTCGAGTTGGAAGGAGGTTTTATGACTAGAGCAAAGGATATGTTGACTACAAACAAAAAAGATGTCTTTACCAAGCAGAAATAGGTCTTAGAAAAAGCAGAAAGATACCATAGGCAAACAGACATGCTGATGTGGCAAGCAGAAAAAAAGTCTAAGAATTTTCCACTGCAACAAAACTGAAAAACAACTCTAAGCTTAAACTGTAACATACTAACTCATGTGATTGGATAGTATTGACCATAATATGGTAATTATAGAGGTGATGATGGGCTATAGGTAATAGCAAAGGTGTTATATATGATGCTGATTGGTTGTTATGTATTAAGATGCTCAGCAAAGAAAAATATATAATGGGTTGTAACCAGAACTAAAGGGTCTTCAGGCTTGCCTATAGCTGGAGCTGACAGCTGTAGGCGTGGCTCTGTCACCCACGACCCTGGACTGCTGTATTCAAACAGCATTTTGAAGAGCCGCCTGGAGTCCCGCATCTCTCGTCTCAGGCTCTTACACCGGAGTATTTTAGTGTTTGTGTTCCTGGAGGTGTCGGGAGAAATACTGGTTTTGTGTCTCCTGAGTGCTTTGCTGGAATCTCCCCTGTGTTTTTGTGGATAGGAGGCAGCACAAGAAAGTGTTGAACTCCTGTTTTAGTAGTGTTTGAAATAGAAAGGACTGAGTTCTCTTTTCATGTCCATTGACTCTCCCCCAATTCCAGTGATTGAATGTGAACAGTCAAGGCCAAATGTCAAGAATTAGAGGACTGGAAATCCATAATTCATGGGAGTGCAGTCACAAAGGAGCCCAGTGAAATATTCTATTAATGTTGATATAAATGGGTTAAACACTTGCTTTTAACGAGGTCAGCACATGGCTGCTTCTTTCCCTTCCAAAGCCTGATCAGTGTTACTGCTGATGCAGTAAGTGACCTGTATCCTTTTTCTTCCATGAGGGGCCTCTAAGTATAAAAAATTAATTTTGAGGTGCAAAAACCAATTTTTGAATTAAAGGTTTTTTCTCTTTCTGCTGTCTAAAAGTCATTCCCAGGACATGACTGAGCTTGATATTATTGATACTTTATTCATTGTGGTGCATATATTACTAAGGAAACCCAAGTGATGGAGAATCTAGCCTTGTTTTCTAAGCAAACTAACTTTAAATATGCCAAGATTTAGAACTAAATCTGCTTTGGCATCCTTGTGATATTAGCAAATAGCAGGATGTCAAATGTAAACAAACGAACTAAAACCTCTTGGAGAATCCCAGTTCAGTTTGAATTACAGGTCAACATATGCTTGCCAGTTGTAAAATATACTTGGATTTTTCCAGGAGCTCATATCTCTTTCTGAAATGTGCAGCTTGAAACCCAACCAGCACTCACTGCTGGTCCTATGGATGAGGGTGTTGCCACCTTGTGATGCAGCTGGAGAGGAATCAGGTGTCATCCTCTTTTGCTGCTGTGGGTTCTGAACCAATATTGGCACTGTAGCAAAAGCATCTGTTTAAAATTCAGCATTTGTCTAAGATAAAGTATATTGTTGTTTAAGTAACAGCTTTCCTGGAAAGCCAGTGATACATTCCTGTCATTGGTTCCTTCCCCCATCCAATATTTTCTGTGCTTGCAACACTTCTTGTTTGCTGAACTTCTTTCCTGAAGACACCACACATCAGGCACCAATTAGGAACATTTGACAAGAGGGATTATTTGTGTGTTTAAATGTATTACACCTAGAATGGGGCTGTGACCCACTGAAATGCAATCCCTAGGTTGTAATTTGTTTCAGCTTCGAAAACCATCCTTTCAGTTCACTTGGAGGGGGACAGACTTTACACACAATAAAGACTCTGTATGGCAGAAAAATTACCCTTGGTCTCAGAGCTGGTGATACTATGATGTGTTGCTTTGATTTGGTCTTTTCTATTTAGAATATAATACCTTATGCAGGACATGGGTGTTATAAATGAGAAGCTTGACTAGGCCAATATTCAAGCAGCAATCAATTTATTAATTACTATGGTAAAGTATGAGCAATACAGTGGTGAGGACAGTGGGGGAAGTTTTCCCTCCAACTGCACACTGATAGTTGAGGCTTACAGATTTTTATAGGGGTAATCATAAGCTTTCTCAGCAGTTTCTATTCCCAGTTTTTTTTACGTCACAATTCTATACACTGTCGTGATTTAGTTTTTCTCAGGATGTATCCAGAAAGGAGTATCCCCAGATGGTGGGATCTGGCTTCCGAAAGGAGAAAGAAGTCTCCCAGCTGGTGAGATCCAGATTCCAGATGTGGGTCTATCTTTTAATTGCAAGGACTATAAATCTCATAACAGTGATGTCCAGCTCCCTTGGTGGAAACTATCAGTCCTTGAGTTGATGTTCATCTTCCGTTCTCAAGCTGCTTTTCACTGTTTTGTTAAGGCGTTGAGATAAGCATGTTTCATTTTCATATATTCTAAAGCTATAGTTTCAAAGATCCTTACTACAAACAATATTCTAAAATTATACTTCAAAAGCTTATTATTGCAAAACTCTTTAAGGCTTAGCTACAAGCAGAAAGTTCCTGTCAAACAGCAACATCCTTAAAGCTTTAATTCAAATGCTCCTAAATCAACTTAAGACTTACAAAGGTTAATTGCTAACAAAGGATAAGTTCAAAGGCCTTCTTCCATGTTTTACTTCCTCAGTTATTTATTAGAATTCCTCTTTATAACTGTCCCATGGTCGGTTTCTACACATACCACAATCGTTGATACACACGTTGCCTGTATGTACCTGACACGAAACACAGCTTTGTATTTCACATGGGGAGTTTCTGACAGTGCGACGATGATTTAAAAAAAGCTCCTCTTTGCTTGCTGGGTGACCATGATGTTCAGTTTAAACAAAAAAATAATCTTAGTCTGAGGTGTTTTCTGGGGTGAAAATGGCCATAAGGAAAAGGAGTTGAATAAAACTGTGCAGTATCTAATTGTTTTCTTCATTCTGTGAGACAGTGAGCAGGGGTGCTGAGTTGCTTTATTGGTACATGCAGAAAATATATTAAGATTCTATTTAACTTGTTCAAAGCAGATGTTAATTGAATGCATGGGAGAACAAGTATGAAAGACTGTGAACCTGTGAGCATGAAGTTAATAATTAAAAAGTTATCAGAGGAATTTTTGCAATATGCTAGCTACTTTAGTTTCTTATGCTATTAGTTGTAGAAGTTTAGTTGTGAGGCTTTTACTTATTGGCTCTGGTAAGGTAAAGCACACTTTCCCCTGCAGCAGGGAAATGCAAACAAGGGCATTGAATTTAATGCTTGATTGCAAGGTTAATAGAATCATTGCACAACACAGCTTAGCTTATTTTCTGACTTCAAGATAATTTCAGTTTGCCTAGAACAAAGGCATTTTAAATCAAAAAAGGCATTAAAATACCTTTTTATTTATTTTGTGATTTTTTTTTTATTTAGTTTAGGATCATTTTTTCCAAGGTTGGAAATAAATATCCTATTGTTTTGTCTGTTCTGTATATATGGACATGGTGTGTGCCATCTGGTTAAGTTGATTTCACATTGTCAGACACAGCTGCTCCATCTGAGACTAAATCTGGCCCTTGCCTTCATATGTATAACTTGAATTTGTAATATGTGTAGGTAAATTAGATCTGAATTAATCTTTCTGTAGTTGCTTACCTGTGTAAGCTGTTATTTAGAGGAGGTGATTCAGACCTGATTTATCACAGACTTGTGGCTTGGACAGGAGACTCTGAACATGAGTTCGTCAAGAGTAACTTTAGTGCTATTAGGGAAGTGTCTGTATACCTTTTAAAAATCATCAGTGGTGAAGTGCTTAAAAACCTACTGCTGAGCATGATTAACTTTGAGTGTTTCCCTTTTACAGTTCTATTTGAGGTTGCATGAATTACCTGGCTTTGCATAAAGGCATAGAAAGGTCTTCCCAGCTCCTGATTGTAATGACTGGTCAAAGAGTGGATTGTGTTGTCTTGGTGCTTCCAGCAGCTACAGCATTGATGGACTGTAGGTAAAACAGTAAAAACAGTGCTGAGCTTGCTCTTCAAGAGTGTGTCTGTATCCTGATCACATCTGATGACTACAGCTTGGTTAAAAACAAGTCCACATCCAGATTAACTCTTAGGCAGATTTGCAACTGAAGCTGCTTCCTGGCAGTCAGCATTTTAGAAGTATTTCCTGCTTTTGGAAAGATCTTTGAGTAATCCCAAGGTAGACTGTGGACCCTGGACAGGAGATGGACAGGAAAGAAGAAGCGGAAGTGAAGCAGAAACTGAGCAGAAAGCCTGAGGACATTCCACACAGAGCACACATACTTTGCTATTAATAAGAATGTCATTAAGTGCAGTACAAATGGTAAAAATAATGGCTTTCAAAAATAGGCAAAGAGTAATATTTTGCTGCTATTTTGCATTTTATGAAAACAGATTAAAGTTATTTATATGTCTTGGCTGAGGTAGTAAACAGTATTTCACATTTGTGGAGTAAACCCCTTTGTCTGGAGTATGTTTAAATTCACTAACTGAACTTTAATTTCCTGAATCCTGCTACAGTGATGAGATTACTAAAAGATGGTCTAGTTCTTGGTGGTGGAGGGGGATTGTTGGATTGCCTTCATAACCAAGGGGATTTGGATCACACTTCAGAAGAACTGAAAAGCAAGCTGAAGCAAGTCATCAAGTTGGGGGAAATACTGGCCTGTTTTGAAAAGTGGGGAGAGAAGATGTCACTGCTTTTGGGAGGAGGCAGAT